ATATATATATATATATATATATATATATATATATAATATATATATATATAATATTGTTTTAAAGAAAACAGTGAGCTAGAGCTCGGTAGCTTCCGTCTTACTCAACAATTGTAATACGTATTATTAATAAATTCATTAAATATACGAAATGATAAAACTCCCAGGTTATTTTTTTCCCCTACCCATTGTGCGATCAGAATACTTTTGTGTTGCCATGAGATGTATCATCTTTGTATTTCGTACATGGATAATGAACCACAGTTTATCTATGGGAAGAGAGATGCTACAAACGTTATAAAAGAAACGTGATTCACAGCGAGTTGATGGTCATGCTGGAAGGAAAAACGGGAAAGCCTCATTGAGGAAGTTGTGAAGAGGTGTTTAGTAATCATTAACATGTCACTGCATTCCAGAGTAGACCTCAATACCCCGACCACATGTTATTTACTACATAAAATACCTTTCTTTCAATTCAAGCGACACTAGATTTTCTAACACTATAAATGACCTCGCTAATATCCAATGGAAACTTTACTTACTATGTTTTATTTTTAAAATTTATCAATACTGAACTACATAATAACCCAACATACGAAATGTTCGTTATGTTTACCATCAAGAAGAAGGCAGATTAAATTGGACAAAATTCTTAATGTCAAAGGATATGTTATTAATAGTGATATGTTCCAACCTTAACACTGGGAGTTACATTACTAGGTTGTTATATGCTCAGTGCAATATACAGTAAGAGAACAGTTCAGACTTTGCACGAGGTTGATATCAGAGTGAATGAGACGAGTTGTTTCCAATGTTCCCTTCCTGCAGTGGGCTACTCTACTGGCGGCCATATATCCGGCCTCTAATAAACCCCTCCACTAATAAAATTCTCATTAACTAGACAACTCGTAACTACGAAATAAATCTGTTCACTTAGGAACAAATCTTTCACTGTTTTATAGTTTTCTTTAAAGTGTCAACTGCTATACACTTTTTTTTATTTGCACATTGTATTGTACTGCTGACTGATACAAGTAATTTCAATCAATATATGCTATTCTCGACTGTTTGGATGCTTATTAAATGAAATTTCTTCACACTGCTATTTTGAACTTTTGAATCCATATAATAGCAATGTCAGACATAAAAGTCAAGAATTGGTCCCGAAAAATTGAGGCATCATTTACACCCTTGAGAACTGTCACAGATACCCTGCGTCCCATGAATTCTCAAATGCTGTACCTAATTACCCCTCAAGGAAGGTTCCTTGATGTTGGTGAGGGGCTCTTGATTTAGGGAATTGGATCTGTGCTCCAGTTCCCCGAATTAAGCCTGAATGCCTTCCACATCCCCCCCCCCAGGCGCTGTATAATCCTCCGGGTTTAGCGCTTCCCCCTTGATTATAATAATAATGTACCTAATTACAGTTTCAGCTTCCTTTTTACACCCCAAAGTTTACCTACTTTTTCTAAAGTTACTAGGAATGAAAAAAATAATTTTGTACTTAAGAATACAACAGTATTTTCGTCTCTACAATGTATCTTACTTCACAAAAATAGCCATATCAAGGTTGAAGCATTGTAATAATTGATTATGTTGGAATAGTTTGTCTAAAGCTATATTATGTGGGTATATTACACGCCTTTATTACATTCACTTCCTATTCTTGTATAAAACACACAAAGAGTCGAACAGTAGCCTGTATATTGCAGAAATGATGATGTGATCTCATGGTCTGATGCCATATACCTTTATCTTAATATAAAAAAAAATGTAACTGAATCCTCTCTTATGGATTCTGTAAGAAGGATTTATTGTATGATAGATTCTACATGATACATATATATAAAATATATATATATATATATATATATATATATATATATATATATATATATATATATATATATATATATATATATATACGCACAGTTTTACAGTGCCGATAATTAAGTTATTTTAAGGCTTTCTGGTGTGCAGAACCTACCTACCATATCCATACTACAGTCATCTGTTGCTCTTCCCGAGAATCTCGTAAATGTAATAATACTGGCACTTGAGATAGATATATTATCATTAAGGACGCACTTTTCTTAGGTTAACCTGCTCACTACTACTTTTAGGCCAGCTGTGTCTAATTGACCAGTTTATCTTATTCAGCCCTATTATAATTATATAAAGATTAGCCGTATTGGTTTAAGTGTGCCTATGGGCTGAGACTAATCCTCCCTACCGTATCTTTGGGACCAACTGTAGGCCTAGAAGCTAGGTTTGGTCTCTAGATGGGAATGAAGTCTTATGGCTAAAGGTTTATACTTAGAATAGATTCATGATTCAGCCTATTATGACAGTTATGCAGTAATACGGATGGTAGCCTAGATCATATGTATGTTGCTATGGTTTACCCAGATGATGATATTCATTTCCTCACCTCCGTGTGCTTAGTTGGGGTGTCAACAGCTGTGCCTATGGAAGCAGGTTTGTGGTTGTGGTGAAGATAAATGATTCTGTGGCTGACATAATGGATTTATAGTAGGAAAAGTATTGATTATGGGTGACTGAAAGGAGTGTGGTAATGAATAAAAGGTAGGTTATTTATGTCTAGTAGTGTAGTAACGGTTCACTGGTGATTATAGGTGATATATGGCAGGTTACGTGGTACCATCATGGGTGAATCATTTCAAGAAGTGTGGTAACTTCAAATGCTGCAAAGTAGCAGCTTTTTATGCTTGAAGTAGAAGAGTTGTGTGTTGCAGAGGTGGACATGTTGCTGCAGTCAGGGGACAGTTGCTTTTTTGTAATGTTGCAGATGTAAACATGTTTCTGTGGTTTGAGTTTGTTGCTTGATGAGCGGTCGGAGAGATAGACATATTGCAGTAGTTCTGAAATGTTGCAGGGTGACCTGCAATGCTGCCGAGGTGAATACGTTGATGCAGAGTGAATCTGTTGCTTCTTGTTGAGATGCTGCGTCTCTCACTATGGTGCTTCATCATGCCTTTGAGGGTAACATTTTCTGAGGCGTTCTCTTTTCGGCAGCGAGGGATCGTTCTTATGCACTGTCAATACACATGGCGATTTGCGTCCCCTTTCCCCGAGACTGGTCTGAGTCACTATTTTCGTGATATTATTTCTTTTACTTAGACATTATCTCTCTCTGTGAAGTGATATTTATCCCTCTTTGTGAACGAGACAATTATTCACCTCTGTGAATGCCTGACTATTTTTGTGCACTTTAATTTAACAATAATTACTGTTCGTGACACAATTTTTGTTCCCTCTCTTGACTTGACATTATATCCTAGAATATGACTAGGCATCCTGCGAGATGGTTGTGCTAGGATAAAGAAAACTAGCTCTTGTTCTAACTTTATAAAATGGCTTTGTAAAACAGGGCAGTCACACGATGTAGATCCATCATCCTTTTGTTTCGTAATAAAAAGTGGCTATTTCGAGTCGCATTTATTTCATGAAACGATTTTATATCCACCTAGGTGTATAGTCATTTAGGTTACATTTTATAAATGTTGACAAAGTAGACGAGCTGGATACAGTGCATAGACACACTAGCAATACAGAAGAGGTAAAGCACAATGTTTTCGTTGGAGAGGAGAGAGGTTAGGGGAAAGTCGTAGATGTCAGGGAGAGTAAGTGGAGGTCAGGGAAGAGACTAGATGTCAGGGGAGGAGGCACAAGTGGGGGAAAGAGGAAAGAGATCAGGGAGAGGAGGTAGACGTTGATGAGTGTCGCTAACACAGATGGTAGTGGCAGGAGACTCAGGTGGTGTACTAGGGCTGAGGGATGCTGACACAGATGGCTGTGGCAGGAGATACAAGACATACCCCTGTACGTATCCTAGCTGAGAGATGCTGACAGTCGTGAGATGAGGTGGCTGGCAAGCACAGACTGATAAAATAGCAAGAAGGTGACGAAGACGGAGAAAGCTATGAGAAAAGGAGATGGAGGATGTAAACAAAAAGCGACGAGGAAGGTGGATGGATCAAAAATGAGGAGAGTGAGTGCGAGTGGCCATGATCGCTCCTGCTACAGTTCATAGACGTCCTTCTTGTGATGGTGCTTGGGACGCCTTGATTCCTTGCTTCTGGGAGTCTTGACGTGGGCGTGTATGGGTGGGCGGTGGTCCCTGGCAGAGGCTGTGGTGTACATGTTGTATCCTGGAATTATATGTACCCGTACATCACTGGCTGGGCGCGCCGCTGCTGCGGCAGCCGCCGCCGCTGCCGCTGCCGCTTCGCCGCTGCGGCCACGGCGGGAGAGAGAGACAGAGGTTTTGCAACAGCAGTAGTGAAACAGCTGCACGTAGGCCTCACGGAAGGGCTTATGGGCGGCATATATGAAGCTGGAGGCTGTGGCTGCGACGATGGGAAGCCAGGCCACGCCAGTTCTGAGGGGATCCTCAGCCCACCAGTCCCCTGCTAGGCCTGCCACCCAGCACCCGCCCGCGGCGGCTGTCACCACCAGGTTGGTGCCAGTGAGAGCCAGGTCCCGCGTCAGGGCCTGTGGGGGCTTCATGGTGGGCGGCACGGGGCGTCTAGCGCCGCCCCGCCCTGCCAGGAGAGTGTGAAGGTGAATGCTGAGGGCGGTGACCAGCGGCACCGCCACCAAAGCCACCCCCACGCCCGACGTGAAGGCCGTGTGGGTAGACGGTCGTGGAGGGGGCATGCGGGCGGCGCAGTGCATAGGCGCCAGCCCCGTCACCCACTGAGTGACGGTAATGACGCAGGCGGCCGCCCACGACACGCCCACCATGACGGCCAGGACAGCAACGCCCACGCTGCGGCCTGCCACCCTCGCAGAGTTCTCCCAGGCCAGGGAGGGCAGAGTGAGGAGGGCGGCGTGGGCGGCCAGGGTGGTGAGGAGCCACGAGGCGCAGCACACGGGCGTGGGTCGCGCCCATCCTGCCAACAGCGCCACCACCCATGACGGAAGAACGCCCGCACTCACCACCAGCCCAGCCAGCATCACGTTAACCACCAGCACGTTCCCTGCAACACAATAACAAAGTGTCAATAATAGTGTCAACACGTACCCTGCAACACAATAAATAACAAGTGTCAAATCGTTCCGTGCAACACAGTGTGACTGCAGGATCCACATAGCCTACTAGCGGCAATAATGAAGCACAGACATGTGCAGTAGTTAGGTATCTTTGTTGTCGAAACGTTACACCTGCGCGGCAGACTTCTTCAGTCTAATACAGGTCAGTATAACACTGGAGACAAGAAGTGGAGAGGTATTTTGAAGTGATCAGTCCCTCAATTATTATTATAATCAAAAAGAAGCGCTAAGCCACAAGGGATCAGTCCCTCAAGACTGTGGGACTGATCTCAAAATTACCTCTTCTTCTACTATCTCGACTGTTACAATCACCTGTATCAGACTGTTCAAAATCTGTGTAAAAGTCAACACCTGTGAGAACCGTCACAGTGTTAACGTTATGTAAGGTTACCATAAGTGTCACCATACAATGGTCACTATGAAGGTACAATGATAGCATATGTAAATGGAGAGAGGTATACAACCCTACTGATCCAACCCTAATTACTTGCCATTCCTTTACGGATTTAAAGCTTCCCCGTGAATATAATAATCATGAACCCACAGCGGGATGATTGATGATATCATCTCCCTGCTGAAGTCTCCCAGCTCATTTTGACACTACTGAAGTTTCCCAGCTCAGGCTGACACTACTGAAGTCTCCCAACTTATTCTGACACTACTGAAGACTCCCAGCTCAGGCTGACACTACTGAAGTCTCCCAGCTCAGGCTGACACTACTGAAGTCTCCCAGCTCATTCTGACACTACTGAATCCTCCCAGCTCAGACTGACACTACTGAAGTCTCCCAACTTATTCTGACACTACTGAAGTCTCCCAGCTCAGGCTGACACTACTGAAGTCTCCGAGCTCAGGCTGACACTACTGAAGTCTCCCAACTTATTCTGACACTACTGAAGTCTGCCAGCTCAGGCTGACACTACTGAAGTCTCCCAGCTCAGGCTGACACTACTGAAGTCTCCCAGCTCAGGCTGACACTACTGAAGTCTCCCAGCTCAGGCTGACACTACTGAAGTCTCCAAACTTATTCTGGCACTACTGAAGACTCCCAGCTCAGGCTGACACTACTGAACTCTCCCAATTTATTCTGACGCTACTGAAGTCTCCCAGCTCATTCTGACACTACTGAAGTCTCCCAACTTATTCTGACACTACTGAAGACTCCCAGCTCAGGCTGACACTACTGAAGTCTCCCAGCTCAGGCTGACACTACTGAAGTCTCCCAGCTCAGGCTGACACTACTGAAGTCTCCCAACTTATTCTGACACTACTGAAGTCTGCCAGCTCAGGCTGACACTACTGAAGTCTCCCAGCTCAGGCTGACACTACTGAAGTCTCCCAGCTCAGGCTGACACTATTGAAGTCTCCCAGCTCAGGCTGACACTACTGAAGTCTCCCAACTTATTCTGGCACTACTGAAGACTCCCAGCTCAGGCTGACACTACTGAACTCTCCCAATTTATTCTGACGCTACTGAAGTCTCCCAGCTCATTCTGACACTACTGAAGTCTCCCAACTTATTCTGACACTACTGAAGACTCCCAGCTCAGGCTGACACTACTGAAGTCTCCCAGCTCAGGCTGACACTACTGAAGTCTCCCAGCTCATTCTGACACTAATGAAGTCTACCAGCTCAGGCTGACACTACTGAAGTCTCCCAACTTATTCTGACACTACACTGAAGACTCCCAGCTCAGGCTGAGACTACTGAAGTCTCCCAGCTCAGGCTGACACTACTGAAGTCTCCCAACTTATTCTGACACTACTGAAGTCTCCCAGCTCAGGCTGACACTACTGAAGTCTCCCAGCTCAGGCTGACACTACTGAAGTCTCCCAACTTATTCTGACACTACTGAAGTCTCCCAGCTCAGGCTGACACTACTGAAGTCTCCCAACTTATTCTGACACTACTGAAGTCTCCCAGCTCAGGCTGACACTACTGAAGTCTCCCAGCTCAGGCTGACACTACTGAAGACTCCCAGCTCAGGCTGACACTATTGAAGTCTCCCAACTTATTCTGACACTACTGAAGTCTCCCAGCTCAGGCTGACACTACTGAAGTCTCCCAGCTCAGGCTGACACTACTGAAGTCTCCCAACTTATTCTGACACTACTGAAGTCTGCCAGCTCAGGCTGACACTACTGAAGTCTCCCAGCTCAGGCTGACACTACTGAAGTCTCCCAGCTCAGGCTGACACTACTGAAGTCTCCCAGCTCAGGCTGACACTACTGAAGTCTCCCAACTTATTCTGGCACTACTGAAGACTCCCAGCTCAGGCTGACACTACTGAACTCTCCCAATTTATTCTGACGCTACTGAAGTCTCCCAGCTCATTCTGACACTACTGAAGTCTCCCAACTTATTCTGACACTACTGAAGACTCCCAGCTCAGGCTGACACTACTGAAGTCTCCCAGCTCAGGCTGACACTACTGAAGTCTCCCAGCTCATTCTGACACTACTGAAGTCTCCCAGCTCAGGCTGACACTACTGAAGTCTCCCAACTTATTCTGACACTACTGAAGACTCCCAGCTCAGGCTGAGACTACTGAAGTCTCCCAGCTCAGGCTGACACTACTGAAGTCTCCCAACTTATTCTGACACTACTGAAGTCTCCCAGCTCAGGCTGACACTACTGAAGTCTCCCAGCTCAGGCTGACACTACTGAAGTCTCCCAACTTATTCTGACACTACTGAAGTCTCCCAGCTCAGGCTGACACTACTGAAGTCTCCCAACTTATTCTGATACTACTGAAGTCTCCTAGCTCAGGCTGACACTACTGAAGTCTCCCAGCTCAGGCTGACACTACTGAAGTCTCATAACTTATTCTGACACTACTGAAGTCTCCCAGCTCAGGCTGACACTACTGAAGTCTCCCAACTTATTCTGACACTACCGAAGACTTCTGCTCAGGCTGACACTACTGAAGTCTCCCAGCTCAGGCTGACACTACTGAAGTCTCCCAGCTCATTCTGACACTACTGAAGTCTCCCAGCTCAGGCTTACACTACTGAGTCTCCCAGCTCAGGCTGACACTACTGGTCTCCCAGCTCATTCTGACACTACTGACGTCTCCAAACTTATTCTGACAATATTGAAGTTTCCCAGTTCAGGCTGACACTACTGAAGTCTCCCAGCTCAGGCTGACACTACTGAAGTCTCCCAACTTATTCTGACACTACTGAAGTCTCCCAGCTCAGGCTGACACTACTGAAGTCTCCCAGCTCAGGCTGACACTACTGAAGTCTCCCAGCTCATTCTGACACTACTGAAGTCTCCCAGCTCAGGCTGACACTACTGAGTCTCCCAGCTCAGGCTGACACTACTGGTCTCCCAGCTCATTCTGACACTACTGACGTCTCCAAACTTTCATGATCCATTCAGGCTGACACTACTGAAGTCTCCCAGCTCAGGCTGACACTACTGAAGTCTCCCAGCTCAGGCTGACACTACTGAAGTCTCCCAACTTATTCTGACACTACTGAAGTCTCCCAGCTCAGGCTGACACTACTGAAGTCTCCCAACTTATTCTGACACTACTGAAGTCTCCCAGCTAGGCTGACACTACTGAAGTCTCCCACTTATCTGACACTACTGAAGTTCCCAGCTCAGGCTGACACTACTGAAGTCTCCCAGCTCAGGCTGACACTACTGAAGTCTCCCAGCTCAGGCTGACACTACTGAAGTCTCCCAGCTCAGGCTGACACTACTGAAGTCTCCCAGCTCAGGCTGACACTACTGAAGTCTCCCAGATCAGGCTGACACTACTGAAGTCTCCCAACTTATTCTGACACTATTGAAGTCTCCCAGTTCAGGCTGACACTACTGAAGTCTCCCAGCTCATTCTGACACTACTGAAGTCTCCCAGCTCAGGCTGACACTACTGAAGTCTCCCAGCTCAGGCTGACACTACTGAAGTCTCCCAGCTCAGGCTGACACTACTGAAGTCTCCCAGCTCATTCTGACACTACTGAAGTCTCCCAGCTCAGGCTGACACTACTGAAGTCTCCCAGCTCAGGCTGACACTACTGGTCTCCCAGCTCATTCTGACACTACTGAAGTCTTCCAGCTCAGGCTGACACTACTGAAGTCTCCCAACTTATTCTGACACTACTGAAGTCTCCCAGCTCAGGCTGACACTACTGAAGTCTCCCAGCTCATTCTGACACTACTGAAGTCTCCCAGCTCAGGCTGACACTACTGAAGTCTCCCAGCTCAGGCTGACACTACTGGTCTCCCACCTCATTCTGACACTACTGAAGTCTCCCAGCTCATTCTGACACTACTGAAGTCTGCCAGCTCAGGCTGACACTACTGAAGTTTTCCAGCTCATTCTGACACTACTGAAGTCTCCCAGCTCTGGCTGACAACTGCTGAAGTCTCCCAGCTCATTCTGACACCACTGAAGTTTTCCAGCTTAGGCTGACAACTGCTGGAAGTCTCCCAGCTTAGGCTGACATCTGCTGAAGTCTCCCAGCTCATTCTTACACTACTGAAGTCTCGCAGCTCAGGCTGACAACTGCTGAAGTCTCCCAGCTCATTCTGACATTACTGAAGTCTCCCAGCTCATACTGACACTGCTGAAGTCTCCCAGCTCAGGCTGATACTGCTTAAGTCTCCCAGCTCAGGCTGATACTGCTTAAGTCTCCCAGCTCAGGCTGATACTTTTCATTACCATGGCAGCAAATCCTCGTCTTATGATGCTTTGACGTCAATACCAGAGGAAACTTTCAAGACATTCTTGCAAAACGAAGCAGCCGTGGTGGATTAAGCTCTGTGGTGGACCTGTTACTCCCACGGATTCTTGTTACCATAATTTTAAGCAAACTATTGTTGTTGTGGATCAATGGAACACGTTACCAAGCAGGTTCAGTAAAGAAATTTCTTTAGGGAACTCTTTAATGATGGGTTGTTCAGTTATATACT